AACTTTTTTTTCGTTTGCACAATGTCGTCCAGTACCACTCCCCACATTGACTCTTCTGAAAATTTTGTTGGTTTTTCCCTACCCGCTTTTGACGTTAACAATGCACGTGTCTGGTTTTTACAGTTAGAAGCTCTTTTCCGTTGCCGTAGGATCACTTCTCAAACCTCTATGTTTTCCTACGTCGCTGCCCATCTTCCCACACACATAGCCGCCGATGTGGTTGACCTACTCGACCCTGTTCCTACTGATTCCCCCTACGATAAGCTTAAGGCTGCCGTTTTGAAACGCCTTACAGCTTCTGATGAGAGCAGACTTCACCAACTTCTCTCCGGAGTTGAATTGGGTGATCGTTCACCTTCACAGCTTCTCCGTTATATGCGCTCTCTCGTAGGTTCCTCTAAAGTCGACGACAGTGTCTTACGTCAATTGTGGCTAAAATGTCTTCCATCCAACACTACGGCGATTCTCGCGGTATCCGCCGACGATTTGTCACTTGACAAACTAGCAGAAACGGCCGACAAAGTTCATGAGTGTTTCTTTCAACGCCCAGTTTGTCACGCTGTTGTCACCCCACCTGAGACTTCCTTGTCATCAGATGCCATTGAATCCATTTGTCAGAGACTGTCCATACTCGAACTCGCCGTTAAGAGAGGACGTCGCCCCAGCAGTCGAAGTTTTAGATCCACTTCGAGAAGCAGAAACAGACACGCTAGGAACACTGGACAGCATATTTGCTATTATCATCGACGTTTTGGTGATGCCGCTAAAAATTGTCGTCCTGGTTGCTCGCACCCGGAAGCCTTCCCCAAGGCTCAACAGGGAAACGCCCCAGCCAGCCAGTAATGGCGACGACTTCGGCTGGCACATCTTCTAGTCGCCTGCTTTTTGTCCGTGATTCCACAACCAACCTTTCATTCTTGGTTGACACTGGAGCCGAGGTCAGCGTTCTGCCTCGTGGAATGGAAAAACGCTACCTCATTCCCACAGGACCTACTCTCCAGGCGGCTAATAACACGAGAATCCAGACTTACGGTCAGAAATTGCTCACTCTCGATCTTGGTCTTCGACGAACATTTTCTTTCGTTTTCCTGGTCGCAGATGTACAACGCCCCATTATCGGTGTCGATTTCCTCACCCAATTTGGTCTTATCGTCGACTTACGTAACAGGGAAATTCGGGATAGTATCACCTCCCTCACCACTCCGGGCAGAGCCACTTCGATCAGCTCGATCGGACTTCGCATGACTCTACCTACTAACACTGTGTTCACCGAGTTACTCCAACAGTTCCCCGCGTTGTATCTGCCGTCCAATAATTGTCCCGCACCTAAACACGAGATTGTGCACCACATCGTTACTCGTGGACCACCGGTCACGTCTCGACCTCGCCGACTACCACCCGATAAACTCGCCAACGCCAAAGCCGAGTTTGAGCACATGCTCCGTCTTGGTATCGTCCGGCCTTCGAATAGTCCATGGTCTTCACCTTTACACATGGTCCCCAAAAAGTCTCGTGGAGATTGGCGACCTTGTGGAGATTACCGTCAGCTTAATAATGTCACCGTCCCTGACAGGTATCCGGTACCACATATTCATGGCTTTTCTATGTGTCTAGACGGCAAAGTAATTTTCTCTAAGATTGACTTGGTCCGGGCATATTACCAAATTCCTGTCGCCCCTGATGACATTCCCAAGACAGCTATAACCACACCCTTCGGTCTTTTTGAATTTGTCCGTATGCCATTTGGACTACAAAATGCCGCACAAACATTTCAACGATTCATTGACCAGGTTCTCCGCGGACTTGATTTCGTTTTTGCTTATATCGATGACATTCTCGTGGCCAGCTCTAACCACGAAGAACATCTTTTTCACCTTCGCCAAATCTTTGAGCGTTTTGATCACTATGGCGTTACCATCAACGTGGACAAATGTGTCTTTGGCCAGTCCAGTGTTGATTTTCTCGGTCATCGAATCGATCGCACCGGAATCAGTCCACTCCCGGAAAAAACAAAAGCAATCACGGAGTATCCGATGCCACAGTCTTACAAAAGCCTGCGCCGTTTCCTCGGTATGGTGAATTATTACGGCCGCTTTATACCTGATTGCTCTAAACTGCTTCAACCCTTAACCGACTTGCTTAAAGGAAAGACTCGAAAATTCAAACCCACAGACGAAGTAATAAACGCTTTCGACAAGATCAAACATGCTTTGTCTAACGTCACAGCTCTGAGCCATTTACGGACGGATGTTAACACACCTCTCATCCTTAAAACCGATGCGTCACAAACCGCAGTCGGAGCCGTTCTGCAGCAACTCGTCAATGGTCATCCCGAACCATTGTCCTTTTTCTCCCGTAAATTACAGCCCGCACAAACTAGATATAGTACCTTCGGAAGAGAACTTTTGGCTATCTATCTCGCCATTAAACACTTTCGACATCTCCTTGAAGGTCGTTCATTCACCATTCTAACTGATCACAAGCCACTTGTTTTTGCCTTTCGTGGTTCTTCGGACCGTTTTTCCCCTCGTGAAACCCGACATCTTGATTACATATCGCAGTTCTCTACGGACATCCGTCATATAGACGCCACTGACAACGTGGTAGCCGACGCAATGTCCCGTATTGGAATTCAAGAACTTTCACGTCTGACCTTTGATCTAGAGGAAATCGCTGCTCATCAGGAGGGAGATTCTGAGTTTATGCAAACGAAAGCAAACCCTTCGATCAAACTTACCCTCCTGCCGCTTCTTAACTCTGACTCCAAAGTTCATTGTGACATGTCTACGGGTAAGCCCAGACCCTACGTTCCCCAACGTTACCGCCGTGTCGTTTTCGATCATTTCCATGGACTCTCGCACCCAGGCATTCGAGCTACTGTTAAGTTGATCACAGATCGCTTTGTTTGGCCCAATATGCGCTCTGACATCCAACAGTGGGCAAAGCACTGTGTTACGTGTCAGACCAGCAAAATCCATCGCCATACAATCACTGTCCCTGGCACCTTTTCATCACCGGATGCTCGCTTCAGGCATGTCCATTTGGATATCGTTGGTCCTTTGCCACCTTCCAACGGTTTTCAATACTTGCTGACATGTGTTGATAGGTTTACACGTTGGCCGCATGCAGTGCCATTACGGGACGTTTCCACTGAAACAGTAGCGCGAACCTTTATCGAAACCTGGATTTCGTTCTTTGGTGCACCTGCTACTATCACGACAGACAGAGGTCCGCAATTCACTTCTTTGTTGTTTCGTGACCTAAGTCGTTTGCTCGGTTGTTCTCACATACGCACAACCGCTTACCATCCCGCTGCCAATGGTTTGGTCGAACGTTTCCATCGCCAGCTGAAAGCTTCGATTACCGCTTCTCAGTCGAGCACGCAATGGTCGGAACGTTTGCCGATAATCCTACTTGGCATACGTAACACGGTCAAGGAAGACATAGGCTGTTGCCCTGCTGAGTTAGTTTTTGGCACGCCACTTAGGCTTCCTGGAGAGATGGTGTTGGATTCAAGGGTCACTGGTGAAATGGATCCTACATCCTATGCCACACGCCTCAGGAGTCATTTCAGCTCGGTACGCCCAACACCTCCACGACTCACGCCTCGTAACCCACAGATCCATCCTGATCTTCGCGATTGTCGCTACGTCCTTGTGCGCATCGATACTGTTCGTAAACCTCTGACGCCACCCTACGAAGGTCCTTACAAGGTTATCGACCGCAAGGACAAGTATTTTGTGTTGGACCGAAATGGCTGCAAAGACTCTGTAAGCATCAATCGTTTGAAACCTGCTTACATCGAACTTCTTCCGTCTCAGCAATCTTCAGACGCATCTGTTCCCGAAGACGATCCATCGCCGAGCACTCCCCCTACACAGCCTATGTGTGATCCCAGTGTCCTTCCCTCACAACCCTCTACAGCTCCCCCTGCAACCACTCACACACACAAACGCACACGTTTTGGTCGTACGGTGGTTTTTCCTTCTAAACTAGCGTTTTACAATCAGTGAGGCGTACATTTCGAGCATTCGCTTGCCCACTCACGCTCTAGGGGGGAGTCCTGTAGTGTTCATAGCTTTTTCATTTTTTGCGCTTTTCTCATTTCGCTTTTATATGCGTCTTGTACAGTTGTTTTAATTCACCGTTTATAATACACATAATTCTCGACCTCGAACGGCGCGTTCTGCTTTCCTGCGGCGGCGTGTTGCGATTGCATTGTTGGTGTGCTTGGAAAGTCTGAGCTTCGCGGAACCAACACTGGAATATCGTATCAGGGAGTGTGCAATATCAGTGGAGTTAGTCCAACCGTCACTACTGAAGGTCAGCGTGTTGATACTTTTATCTGACACTATTCCTTTCCTTCTGTTGCGGTAGTGTAAGACTAGTTTTCACTCCACTACAGGCTCTTGCGAGCGTGCGCTGCAGCTCTAGCTTTACCCCTAGCGGAGCTGTTCACCCACTTCTTCTTGCAAGGCAAAGTTCCCAATGATTGGAAATGTGGGACTATTACACCAATCTACAAAGGCGGTACTCGCAAAGATCCGGCCAATTACCGACCGATAACTCTCCTATCTACGATATCCAAAGTGATGGAATCGATCGTCGCAGACGCTTTAATGGACCACATGGAGGCCCAGAAACTGCTCTCTGATTGCCAGCACGGTTTCCGGCGTCAACGGTCTTGCCTGAGTAACCTGCTTCTTGCCAGGGACAGCTGGACGACTGCAGCCGACTCTGGCCAAGAAACGCATGTTATCTTCCTGGATTTCACCAAAGCCTTCGACAAGGTCGACCACAAGCTTCTGCTGCGGAAACTGTCATCTTACGGCGTTTCAGGGGACTTGAACTGGATCCGGAACTACCTCCAAAATCGTACCTTCCAAGTACGCGTCGACGGAGCGTTGTCTCCCCGCATCTTTGCCACAGGCGGAGTTCTACAGGGGTCTGTTCTCGGACCGCACCTTTTCCTAGCCTTCATTGACGACGTCACACCGTAAGTGGAGTCTTCGCTGCTACTATACGCGGATGACGCGAAGCTGTGGCGCACAATTAACCTTCCGGACGATGCCCACGCACTTCAGACGGACCTCGACCGTCTAAATCAGTGATCCATAGAAAATAACCTTCCATTTAACGCTTCGAAATGTCGCGTCCTTTCTACCCGCCCTTCCGCTTTTTCACCTGTATATTACCTGGGGGCGTCTATCTTCCAGATCTCTTCAGCCGAAAGAAACTTGGGTATCATTACCCAGACGAGTCTTTCCGTATCCGCTTCCTGCCGGAAAGCAGCTGCTGCTGCTAACCGCATGGTGGGATTGCTGAAACGAGCCTTCGGTCAAATTGACCCCAGCAATTTCCGCCTCCTCCTTAACGCTTTTCTTCGACCCCACTTGGAGTTCGCTATTCACGCTTGGAGCCCCTCGTTGTTGAAGGACCAACGCATACTCGAAGCCCCACAACGTCGAGCAACCAAGCTGGTCCGAGGTCTCAAGCACCTAGATTATCCACAACGACTTCAGTGCCTGGGCCTCTACTCGCTTAAGTACCGATGTCTACTGGGTGACCTGATCCTCGTATTCATGATCTTATCCAACCCTGGACATCCCTGTCGCCACCTACTCACACTGCATCAATCGGGCTCCCACCTACGTGGCCACCCACTGAGGCTCACACATCAGCACAGTCGGCTGAACTGCAGACGACACTACTTGGCTTTGCGAATCTGCCGACCGTGGAATGCTCTGCCTGCCGATTTAGTCTTGGCACCCACTGTGGCGGACTTTAAGACCCGCTTGGACTGTCATCTGGCGGAGCTACACCGCGATATTCCCCAATTTAACTGCATTCTACTGCAAAGAATTTCTTTCTTTTTTTCTTCCACCTACTTCCTTTCCAAAGCCGTTTCCGAGGGCGTGGTGGGGTGTCTCGCTTTGAGCCGGCGTGCATTCTGTTTAAATGCCACATAAGCCCGATGTAGATACGGCTAACACGCGGGTCCAACCCGCTATAAGGTTGCTTGGCCTTTCATTAGACCCGACCCGTACTCTTTTTACCCTATGGGTCATGTAAAGCTCGAGCTTTTATTCCAATTAAATGCAATGTTCCAATGTACAATGTAGATGCTGACTACCACGGCTCTGTACGCGATTCCACCGACATACTTTCATTTCAGTCCTCACGGACGGAAACGGAGAGTGATAACGTGGAAGCCATGAGCTGCCAAATAGGGGAGCAGGAATACACGTCACTAGATAAGACTACGTCACCGAACCTGTGTAATGAGGCACGTAATTTCCTGGCATCATGGGCTTAATACCAACACTTCGGCTTCGGCTGTTAACAAGCTCCTTGAAGGGCTGCGTAAGTTTATACCGTCTTTACCGAAGGATTACCGGACGTTAATGAAAACTCCCAGAACC